TATATATATATATATATATATACTTAACCAAATAATTATATCAACCAGTACTAATCTAAATATGTTTGCTTTTATACTCTACTGTTAGTTTAAATTTACTCTGTATAGAAAGTTATATATAATGTTTTTGCTTAACTGCATTAGGTAGTTGGTAAATTATTTATTTAATCTTAAAAAAATCTAAATATCTACTTTAAATTTATGAATTTAAATAACAGAGACGATGTTAAAAATTCTAATTTCGATCTATGACTTATGTTAATTATCGAAAATAGCAACCTGCATTTTTAGTGTAGTGATTGAGAAAATGTTTCAAGTGATAAGGAAAATTTTTTTTTAAATTTATTATTATTAATCAATAAATTTTGGACAGCTTGAATGAAATTTTTTCCAACTTACCATATGATGTGAACAATACTTAAAAATGCACCTGGGACTACGAGATCATCACTCCCAACACTCCATCGTCGTCGAAATACTACTATACCCGGCATTATTACGTTTTAAATTAATTCTTTTATTATTTATCAAATGAATAATTGACTCTTTTTCCTTAATATTATCATAAATGTCTTTGTAGCAATATTAACATTTTTTTTTTCTATTTTATACATGACTTGATTATTCTCAATATTGAATTAAATTTTTCAGCTTTTGGGTGTTTGGCGAATCACTTCAATTAACAACAAACACTTTATAGCTCTTTTGTCTTTTTTTTTTATCTATCTATTGAATTTTTCATTCAGCTATTGTCATTATATAGGTTATTTCTGTCCTGTATTACTGTATTTATTTTTTTGTTTGCTCATTTGAAAAAGATAATTTTAAGTTAACTTTATTTCTTCTAGTGTTAATCGAGACTTTGACAGTAAACAAACAAATTATATCATCACCGTTATCATTATCAAATTATCATCATCTTTTTCAGCATATTAATTATTGAAAATCGTTTATTTTCTATAATTAATGGTAAACTATGTATAAATTACGAAATATTATTAATTTTTAGTGTGGAAGACTCAAAAAGATATCAGTACAGGACATGAACGTTATAATCAAAAGTATCTGAGTTTCTATATATTTGTAACAAAAAATATTATTCTTTTGAACTTTGCAGTATCCACCAATCAGCCTCAATCATAAATACATAATTTTACATATTTTTTTCGAGATTTATACTCAAAAAGAACACTCGAGTAAATTTTCATAACAATAATAAACCACGAACTTTTTCAACACTTTTTTAGTTTAATATTAACGCTTGAGATGGAAAAATATTTGAAGTAAAAATAGTTTACCATGAAACTGTTTAAATAACTCAGGTAATATTAATTTTTTTTTTTATAAATTTTAATGATACTTAATTGTTACTGAGACAAAAAGGTTAATTTTTAATAATTAATATTAAATTATAATTGTCAGAGAGTAAAAAACTATATTTTAACCACGTGCTTCTTAAAATTTTATATTAACAATTAATTAAAAGAGAAATGAAATAACTTATTACAAGAGTTTTTTCAAGCGCACTGAAGTTTTCGTTTATGAATTGCATAAAGAATTACGGAAAAAATGTCTACGGCGTCGGCGTTTTGTGGTTTTAGCGCACGCGTTTCACTTTGCATTTACAGAGTATGTGTACTTATACTCAGATAAAAATAATTATTCAAATGGTATCTAGAGCATAATCATCTGAATTTATAATTTTGTGTAGGAAGAAAACCATAATAATATAAACAAAACTCAATGCCGGTAATTCTCCATAAAAACGAAATAAAGTACAAACATTTAGTTTCAAAAAATAAAATCAAAACTTTCGCTTATATATAAAATCAATAAATAGATTAGTTGGTTATTGGTGATAAAATATTTTATCATACATAGTTTTATTTCTTCATTAGTATTTATCGTATTCGATTTATAAAACTTGCCCTGTGGTACCTGTGAAATTAATTAATATTCAATATTATTAAATAAACTAATTTTCATAAAAATTGATCCAAATTGAATTATTCCATAATTATTAAAGTATCCTGCCGCGGGGCAAATTTTGTTAGCCGACTAGGATAATTATAGGTTCTTTACTCTGATAATTGTATTAAAAGATAATTGAATGCAAAATAAAATTGACGTTTTAACATTGATGAAACTAATTAAAACAGAGGTATTTATAATGATTTGAAATAGACTAATTTCTTGCTATATTATAATTACTACGATACCAATTAACAGTTTCTTTGATTGCATTTTCAAATGGAGTAAACTGCATGGCTGGTAAATAATTCCTTAGTTTTGAATTACTTGCGGTCTTTTTGTATTGACCATCTGCCGCCGTAGTATCATATACGATTTTTCCTTTAAAATCAAAAGCTTTCGCAAGTGTTTCAGCTACTTTTGAGATTGAAACTTCATCTTTTTCATCGACTGAAATAATAACAGTCAATAACATGATCAATAATTATAAAAAAAAAAATTAATATTGAATTAACTTACCGGATAGAATTATTGGTTCGACGGAATTATATTCACGAAGAACCCATAAAATAAGTTTTGCTAAATCTAAGCTGTAAATAAATTGTCTCAAAGGTTTCCCTGATCCTAATACTGTGAATATTTTATCTTCAGTATTGCCTGTAATTGGAGTTAATAAATATTTCAATTATTTTATTAGAATATCTGATGATTTTTGGTGAATAACAAAATTACCATCTTTAATGAGGTCATACAACTTTCTCATTAATCCAGGAATAACATGACTTGAATGTGGATTAAAATTATCATGAGGTCCGAAAACATTACATGGAATAATACTTGTGTAGAGTCTGTTATTCTGTTCAAGGTATGCGTGATTTGCAACATCTAACAGTCGTTTTGCATAACTATATCCATAATTTGATGGATGAGGTGGACCATTATGAATCTACATGAAAAGATAAAACCAATAATAATATAGTTTTTTAAACAATGAAAATACCTGAAACTAAACACTTACCATAGTTTCGTCTATTGGGTATGTTGTTTTGTCAGGAAATATACAGGTAGAAAGACAGGAAACAACTTTGATAACATTATTTTCATGAGCAGTTTGTAAAACGTTATCATTTATGTGAAGATTATTACGCTATAAAATAATTGTTCAATTATTAGTAAACCAGCGTTTCAATAGTTATCCCAGTAAGAGATTTACTCTCTCATTTATTCACCAAACATTCCTATTATTCCCAATTTGAGAATTTAAGATCTTTCAAGTTCATTCTCTCGTTAAGACAAATTTCCCATGATAATTTTATTTCAATGATAAAACTCACTAAAAAATCTAAATTATGTGCCATGTTATGGAATAAACCACCAACCATAGCAGCCAAATGTATTACATGAGTAGGTTTGTATTTTTCAAACAACTGTTCTGTGCTTTTTTTATCGCTGAAAATAATAAAGTTTAATAAATATATTGTCATTAAAATTTGAAGATAAATAAAAATATTACCATAAATCTGCTTCTTTTGATCCTACGAATATCCACTCTTCGTTATCTTTTTTGTCTTCATTAACTATATTTTCAATAGCTTTACCAATGAGACCTGTACCTCCAGTCACAAGTATAATTTTTTTTTCCATATTTTATTATGTATTTATATGTAAAATTAATAATAAACTATTTATTATATAAATATATCCTATGTTTAATGCACGGTAGCAATGCAATCAAAAGAGGTTATAGTTGTCTCAGGGATACTCGTGAATTAAAATTATTTAGAGATATGGGGATTTATCGGTGTGTTGGAGGAAAATGATAAGTTTATAAAAAAATTCTAAGTAAATAAAAGATAGGTTATATTATCATGAAAATATTATGATGTTGTCATAATCAGGTGTTTTAGGTGACACCACTAGTTCATAAGCGGTTTTTTTTTAAATTTGTAAAAAGTCACGTATTGAAATGAGATTGGTAAATCAAATATAGAGAAACATGATTGTTTATATTCCCGCGTTTCTAATCCTACTAAAATAAGCAAATATCTGATGATTTTTTTATTTCATTTAAAAAACAAATAACCAATAGAAAATAATATTCAACAAAAATTGGGTCATCCTTGATTAAGGAAAATGATTTGACATGATTAAAAATATGATTAATTTTCTAATCATTTTTAGTCCTGTCAATTCATGTCTAATGTTAAGTCATTTTAAATTATTTGTCTTATGGATATTTAACATTTTCAAATCATTTTGTTTAATAAGAGATGGTTTGGAAATAGGGTCTACTCTATTTTTAGCAATAAAATATTGAAAAATATATATTTTCGATTGTTTTTATCTAAATTATTATATTTTACGATCTATTTATGATAATAATTAATCATTGAAACAGTCTTGCAATACCTATAGGTTTTTAATTATTTTTTTACACACCTCGTAGCGCGAAGCGCGTGAGGTTGTGCTTCATACCCGACTCGTCAAGGTTAAGCAATTTTGTGATCTTAAAATGCCTCTATCACAACCATATTGCACTTATACAATAATATAAGTAGATGTACATCGAGAAAACTCTTAAATTAAGCCATCTTATACTTTTTAAAATCATTTAATGTTGCTGTTTTGAAAAAAAAAAATCTGGAAAACGGTTGACCCTAAAGGCCATCTCTGCAACTTCCCGCTAATTCCATATCGAAGCGCTTAAGATTGCACTTATGACATTTTTGAGCTCAAAAAATATAATTTATATGTTATTTCAAGCTCTCCGAGCTCATAGAGTTAGCTGTTCTAATCGTTTGAGCTCTTCGAGCTCAAAAGTCTGATAGGCGTTTAATAAAACAGTATTTTTTGAATTTTCAAACTGTAATAATTTCTGAATGAATGAATCGATTTTCACACGGTTGGCAGTATTCAACGCAGTTTTTCAAATTCTATGATATAATTTTGAACACAAACTGATCGAACCGAATATCTTAGAGAAATTTGAAACATTCACTTTTTCCGAATTTTTCCGACAATGATTACTCACGAACCAATCAACCGATTTTCACGTTCTTGGTGGAGATCGACGTGGTTTTTTGAACTCTAATAATTATTTTATATCATCAAAAACGATCAAAAAAGAAATGTCGAAGTTATGTGAAAAAAAAACACTTTTTTCGAAATTTTTCGTTTTCGATAACTCTCGAACGAATCAACCGATTTTGATGGGACTGATGGCAATCGACGTGGTTTTTTTAAACTTAAGAGCGGATTAGTTTTTGGAGTTGATCGGTGGAGTCGTTTAGAAGTTATTCCAAAAAAAAAATTTTTTTGAAAATTTTATTTTTGAGATTTCTCAAAATCTAGCGAACCGAATCGATTCAAATTTTCACGAAATTTAATGGGAATGATACTCTTTGGATCGCCACCTATTTCAATCCGATCGGCCGAGTCGTTCAAAAGTTATGAGAGGTTTACACACACACACACACACACACACACACACACACACACACACACACACACACACACACACACACATCGACA